TGGCAGGGGTCATGGGAGTGCCCTTAGTCCAATCTCCTCGCCATTCAGATGAGGAGACAGGCCCACAGAGGGGCACGAACTGGCCTGAAATCATCAATGACTTGGCAATTTGGAGGATCTCTTGAAGAGCCTCTCTCTGCAGAGTTTTCGGGCTGTTTCCTTGGTTAGGTCTAACATGTGTTAGCCATGTTGTTTCTCAAGCTATCTTGGTAACATACTTAAATGCCATTTGCTGGTGCCTGGTATTTTATCTGAGCAATATCTCTTGTTTTGGCGTCTGTTACTACACTAAGTGACACCAATTACCAGAAAACATCGTAGTTTGCTGAAAAAATACTTGAAATGACCAGCTAATGAGGACGTTAAGTTTATTTTCTCGTTCGTAATTATGCAGGCTCTGAAGCCAAGCCCAGTATCTATATATACTTGTATTGCTAAATTAAAAGCAACTGTGGGGTAGAGAATAGCAACATTTCAAGAAGAAACAAATCAAATGTGACATGTTTTGACTGCACTGATATACAATGATCTGAGCTCGGTTTTAAAGGAGAGAAGTTTGGCCCAAAGGAAATGAGGAGGTCCCAGAGCCAGGAACGCTTCGCAAAGCGAGGCGCTCGCTTTCTGGCCTCTGAAACATTAGTTCCCTCTGTGACTTGGAACACAACTCCTCCACCTCCTTTTCCCACAAATGAGGAAAATCACTCACTTACAACCTTAAAGGCGCGAAGGGTGGTACAAGAAGATTAGAACACACCTGTCTGGCAAATATCTCCTCGTTTCTCTATTAGCCTGATTCACTGCGCGGAGCTGGTCCCTTTTATAAATTGTTTACATCAAATCAACTGTCTCTGACTCAAACCTGACAGGGCACATTCTTATTAAAAATGTAATAAATTATGAATACACACTACTGCTGTTATCGGCTACTGCTGAAGAGTGGAATTAGGCAGGAACAAATAAAGGCACTCTCATTTTTCACTTCTAAATGGTTTGCTTTTTAAAAAAGGAATGGGTATATATTACTATTATTATAATTAAAAAAAAATTAAATAAAGCTTCTTTAAAAACAAAACACACCCCTAGTTAAATTGCCACTGAGTAGAAGTGGCAGTATGGTGAAATAGAAACATGTATTCAGATACCTTGAATGATGAGATTTGGATCTAGGCCACGCTCTGCCACTGACCTTAGACGAGTCACTTAACCCCCTGGAAGCCTGTATTGACTCCTCTGAAAATATAGGGGTTGGATTAGATGATCTGATCTCAAGGTCACCTCCAGTTGTATAAACTTATAAATATAAAACTTTAAGGAGAAGGTATTATGAAAATTGAGTTTCAATTGATGACATTCTTTTTTTTATCCTCACCCGAGGTTATGTTTTCGAGAGAGGAAGGGAGAGACAGAGAGAGAAACATCGATCAGTTGCCTCCCATACATACCCGACCGGGGATTGAAACCACAACCTAGGTATGTGCCCTGCCCGGGACTAGAACCCGCAACCTTTTGGTGTATGGGACAACGCTCCTACCAACCAGGGCTGAGTGACATTCTTAAGAAAATCACCCACACCATAAATTATATCACAGGAAGCTGGGACTTAAGTAGTAGGCACTCAATAAATTAATTTTGCTTCATTCATTTTAGGTTAATTATTTTTAGAGAACAAAGCACGTTCAATCTTGTTAAGTAACAAGTTATTTAACAACACATATGTTTATATGTATATGTATATGTATATGTATATATAATCACTTGCATTTAGGGACAATAAGGTAAACCCCCAGAATCATAAAACCTTAGGATTGGAGGAACTTAAGGAACTTAATAAAATCCATAATGAACTCTCTGCTAGTGAGAAATCCTGTTACGTGTTCCCCTTAGTTACTTGTGTGATGATCACACGCCCTTGTCTTCAGAGTGAGCTGAAAGGGGCCCCTTCCTTCCCCCTCTAGATCTGTCCTTGGGAGCAACAGTCCTCTTTGCCACAGAGCAAAAGAGTGACCTAATCCTGCCAAACCTTCTCCCTTCCTACCTATTGCACATATACTGTCATTTCATCCAATCATCCCTTACAAGTTTCCAGAAACAGTGTGTCCACATCTCTCTCAAACCCCAGCTTGGAATTAGCCTCAACCCTGAAGTGTGGTCTGACAGGACAGAGCCCATGTTCCACCCCCAGCTTGGTCCTGGTACCATACTGCTGCAGCCTAAGGTGATTTAGCATCTCTCTCTTCTACTACACGTCCTCTGTTGGTTCCTAATAAGTGTATACCCTCCCAAGATCTTCTTCACATGAACGACTGATGGGCCAAGGCCCTCCCATGTTTTAAAATTCTAAATGCTTAGCTTCACATTTATTTTTGTTAACTTTCTTCGTGATGGTTTCAGCCCATCTTGTTCCAACCTGTCGAAATCACTCTGAATGTTGATACTGACATCCATCATATTAGCGATCCCTCCCAGCTTTCTGTCATCTGCAAATGTGATCAGCATGCCTTCTCTGCCTTCATCCAAGTTTTTGATGAAAACTCACTGTATTTTTTAAAAAGTCTTTTAATTTATTGATTTGGGTCCAATTTTTGATAATTTTGTAAAGCTATCTAAAAGCAGAAGAATCCAAGCTATGAGGCTCAACCTGATTCCAAAACAATGCAATTAAAATAAATATGCTTTACGAAATTGAGCCGGGCCCCAAAGGTAGTATCAGTATAACCTAGACTCTGGCATGGTCAATCTGCTATTTTGGACAAAACTAACAATTAAATTGGATAAATGTTTGTTGATGAAGATGATGACTCTAGTCTAACACACTGAATGGTGCAGAGGCAAGCAAACAAGCTGGATTGATTTTTCCGTGTGGAGACAGTTCCCAGCTGGGACAACTCAAAGAGCTGGGGAGGGTTTGCCACTGAATAACTGAATAGTCCACAAAGACCAATAATTGGATAATTTGGGGCCAAAAAAATCACTTGTGGAGCCTAAATTCTCTGGATTGATCACCAAAAGTGATTTCAAATATCCTGGAATAATGACAGACTGTGTTATGTAGCCTCAGTGTGGGTAGTATGAAATAGCTTCATAGATCCAGAAAAATTGCATGAGAGGAGACCAAAGTTCCTCTAGGGAGGAGGTCTTTATTCCAGAATGCTGTTCCAGCACCCTCTCTCACTGAAACCAGAGGTGCAGTAATGCTTGGTATTAGGAGCACAGACTTTGGGATCCAATACACTTGGCTTCTAATTCTATTTCTGATACACATTAGCTTTGTGACCTTGGGCAAATGAGTCCTTTAGCCTTTCTCAGTTTTAATCTCATCTGTGAAATAGAGATCATAACACTTACCTTCCTGGTCTTGCTACATGGCACCTGACACGTGAAGTGTTCACACTCGGAACATTCAACAAATGGTAGGGAGGGCACTGTGCTAAAGCTTCGACAAGTATCATCTTATTTAATCTTCACAAATCCCAGGAAGTAGATATTATAATTATTATTCCATAACACCAATGAGGAAGCGGAGTCACTAAAAGGTTTAAGCAGTTGCTTAAGGTCATCCAGCTACTAAACGATGGTGTTGGGATTTTAATCTAGGGACCTGCATGGGTCCAAAGCCTGAGCCCTTAACCACTGCATTATGATGCTAGACTATTTTTTGAGACTTGACTTCAAGAGATGCTACTTGTAATCAGAATAAGAGTCCTCACCCTTTGGTGCTAACGATCTGCCATGCTCCTCCTATGAAGTCTTGTGATCAGGTGCAGCGAGGAGGCTTCCCAGCCCATAGTGAGGGTAGGGATGAGGGAAGGGGGATCAAAGTGGGTGTACCGATCATAGCACTGCAACCTAATGGGCACACTCACACACTCTTTCCCAGCTGTTCAACCAGAAGTTTGAAATACTGATTAGACCTGGGCAGGGAAATCTGGTGGGAGCTGCCAAGCCAGACCAACCAATTGGGGATCCCTGGACTGGTCTCTCTTTGATTTGTATGCAAACTGTGTTTCTCAGTTTTCTTGTCTTAGAGTGAAGGTAACTATCCCTACAGTTCATGATTCTTTAAGTGGTTAAATGAGATGTCTAGCATGCAGAAATTGCCCAGTAATTATGATCTTTTTTTCTTCCTTCCCATCTTTGGTGAGACTCAGTCTTACTAGAAGTTTGCTTTTCCAAGTCTTTTAAAAGGCCGCCTTAGAGTCATATTAATACATTTGCTTAGAAAATCCTTTCTTGTGGTGGTTCTCTTTGTTATCCAAATTTATGGCAATTTTCAGAATTCAAACTGATGACATTTTACTACATCCATATGAAATAGAAATGTTGAGATATTTTGGTTGACTAAAATAACAATACTGGTAATCACTTATGGTCTTCAAATGTTTTTCTCAACCATCTTTCCTGTGTGGCTGGTGATCAAAACATCCCTCTGAGGTTAAATATTGTAATCATGTCCACTGTAGGGATGAAAAAGCCAAGGGCATGAGCCAGGTGACACAGCTAGGAAGCAGCAGAAGTGGTGTTCCATCCCAGTCCTCCTGATGTCAAGGCCAGAGCTTGCTCCTCTCTATCAATGGTCTAATCCCTCGAATAAGCAGCAGATCAATCAATGCCAATGCAGTTGGGAAACTGCTTAAGGATAACTTAAAGCTCAATATGAAAAAAACAGTAGTCACTTTGTGTAAACCACGAAAGAAATCTGCAAATTGTAATTCACCTGTGCAGATTTTCATTGGCACAACCACCAGGAATCCTGCAACAATGGGTATGACAGATGCAGCACTGTCAAGACCATTTGTTAAGGGATTCAGAGACCCAATAAGGCAAAATTATTTGGTTCAATGGATGCACTGGAATTGCGAAATGAAGTGAGAAATATAGAAAAGGAATGAAAACTGTTTAGCACACTGGCAGGCACAAAGTCAACCAATCAACTCTTATTACTAGTATCATGAGTAGAGACCCTGATCATTCATTCAAAAGCAGGACATTATAAAACTTACTCTGGAATAATCAAGTTCTCTGGGCGTTGAGTCTGTTAAAGCTCGGACAAGGGCATTCATCATACAGCTCGGAGGAGAAGGTGGAGAGGGCTGGGAAGGTTCCTGCTGTAATGGGCTCTTTGGTTTTGAAGGCAGCCGACCTCTCCTCCCCTTCAGACTATCTGTACGGACAACTGATGGCAAGGGAAAAAGAGAAAGACTGTCTTCAAAGATATTCCTGAATAGCCATAACTCACAAAAAGGAATTAAAACAGTTGAGCAATCATTAATGAGACCAACCATTTAAAAGTGGCAATAAGTTTGGAATAATATTCACACAACGATTCAATGAGAGTTGAAACAAGCAGCATAAAAGCCACTCCATACTTATATTTGGTAATGAATTAGTCCTAAAAGTCTCCTTCTTAAATAGAACAGAGATGTATGTACACAAGCTCTGTATTGATTTTGAGAAATTAGAATTGAAAAGTAGTCCTCAGCTATTTTTAAATGTAAACATACACTGTAACAACAAAACGTTGGAAGGAAAGGAAAATTCACCATTCTAATGTAAATATTAGCATTTTTTTTCAGTGATATCTGAGAACACATATAAACAAGTTGGATAAAAAGCATTATATTCATACCTTCTTTAACCATCCCAACACTGAGACACTTCTGGAAACGACAGTACTGACATCGGTTTCGACGTCTCTTGTCTACAGGGCAGTTTTTATTTGCCAGGCAAACATATTTTGCATTTTTCTGCACCGTTCTCTGAGAAAATACAATACAGAGATAGTCAACTAATCGTTTCTGGAAAGAGGTAGAACCTGACAAGATGTATTTTAATTACAATGTGAAAAGCGACAGTGCAATTCGTATAATTAGATAAATTTAATTTCCTAACACGCTAGCCTGCAGGAAAAACAATTTTATTAGTGTTAGCTGCTGACAATGAAAATCATCTCAGATTGTTCTGAAGCAAGTCTCAGGAGACATCCAAGTCTGAATGATAAAATCATATCTGAAATTACCAGGTCAACATATCATACCTTGGAGGATTAGATTATCTCCACTTTTAATATCCCTCTGGGAACAATTTTCTACTTGTTCCACTCCCCTGATTATTGCTGACCTTATTAAAATAAAATCAAAATTATCTGGGATGTACTTTGTTGGCTATCACTTTTGTAAGTCAAATATTACAGTAACTGGCTTTGTTTCCCAATAGAGATGAAATCATAAAAAGCAAAAATCAGGATTTGTCTAGTTAAAATATATAGGAAATAATGTTTAAGTGCCCCCAAATCCCTTAATCAGCCATTGTAGTTTATCTTTAAAAGGGTAAATGGCCATTTTTTTATATTTAAAATTAAAATCTTAAAATTGGACACTGAAAACCACTATCACATCCAAGAAAGGAATAAAGAAAAACCAAAACAAAAAGAAACGAGAAAGAAAGGAATATGAGAGCCGTATATTTTCAATTAAAATTCCCATTGATTGGTTATTTCATAAATGACTATTGACATAGACATCAAAATAGCCATATTGTAAAACATACTTCATAAAACTTGGACTTGGATATAAAATAATGCTGTATTCTTCAGAATCACATGTAATTTAAAAATGGCACGTGGAGAAATAATTGAGCATAATTTTATGCTCCAAATATAAGGGAGGCTTTTTTAAAAACCCCACAAAAAGCACGTGTGCAACTGGATGTGGGTATTTACCACTTAGGGTAAAATCATTCAGAAATTACCTGAATCTATACAATTCCAAATAGAGCAGAAAGTTGAAATTTATTTGATAAGCCTAAAAAAGAAAAGAAATCTGGGTAATTTGGGGTTGGTAATCTATTTCTTGCCCAAAATTCTAGGCTTATTTTCAATCTTTACTTTCAGCAATTCTCAGCCCTCATTTACCAGCATTCACCCCATCATCTTTTAATTTCACTTTAGGAGATCGTTTTGCTGACATAAAACTTAAAAAAAATCTAACAAAGCCAGATACATTTTCCCTGCGTTTGTAGGTGATGTTAGTTTAAAATGTAAAAATTCCCAAAACACAAACATGCTTCTCAGTTTCCAGCATTTCAATTCTCAGCACTCTTTAAGGGTAGGAAACTGGTGCTTCCTGAATGAAGTTCTCTTCATCGAACATGCAGTCATTTCTAAAACTCTTATTTCTTGCCATTGTCCTCAAGGTTATATGCCAATTTGAGTGCTTGGCGGCATTTTGCTCCAGGTATACATTTTTCCAATAACCTGAAACCTTTCCCACAGTCATGTGCGCCTGCACCGTTTAAGGACAAGGAGAGATCGTTACAGTTCAATCACTGAATTCCATCATTAACTGCATTTCATGTCACATTTTTAAAGAATTCAATTTAATGGTAGAAAGCCACTGGGTAAAACCTGCTCCCATTCCCTTAATTAACAGATCTGTGGGATGGTTCTCTCCCGTTTCTACCCCCCGCCCTTTCAAATATAGATTTGTTTTCAAGGGATTGCTGCAGAAAAGGAACCCTGTTGGGGAACACTTAATTGACATTTCTAGACTAGGGATGTATTACCACTCCTGTATTTTGGTCAACTCTCAATTATTCAGGGATGGTTATATTTGAAGTTACTTGCACTTCTCTTAATTGTTTTTCTTCCTTTCCCCCTTTTTGGCTACCTGTTTCACTGCCCTTCAGCATTTCCACTGAAATGATGTAAAAATCAATTTGTGAAAGGAATGCAGTTCCTTGAAAGCAGCCCTGGTAAAGCTTGAGTAGTTAAGACTAAAAAAAGGGCTAACCTGGGGGCTCTACATTTAAAATATCATAATCTTGTACATGCCTTCGGTATGGCTGCAAAGTCTTTCCATAAGCCTTTTCTCACTTTTCTGCAGAATGTAATTAATCACATGATTTCTACTCCCAGATCAAAAGTAACCGTTGCTTGTGGGTATGATAACCAATACACAGACACATGCATTTTTATAAATACTTGGTAGTTTTGACTTAGAATGAACTATTGTTTTTTTTTTATGGCCCTTTAAAGTTTATAAAACGCTTTCATAATTGTTTTATCGCATTTAATTCTCACAGCCCTTCTCTGAATTTTATTCACCTGATAGGGAAACTGAGGCCTAGAAAGAAGTATCATGCCCAATGTCATATAATTGGTAGGTGGCAGATCAAGGCCTCCTATTCCAGTGTTCTCCAAGTCCCGCCTGCTCCCAGATACATCCTGTTGGCCTCCTAAATCCTATTACCCAATCAGCATCCAGCTTCCCCTTTTCCTCCACCCTGCCCAGCATGTAGGCTAGGGAGTGATTATTGTGGAAGACCATTTGTGGGTTTGCAAATGCCTGAGATAATGGCCAGGGGAGTGGGGATTGGGGAAAATGGCACAGAATTAACTGTCTGAAGAAAACGGGGAGTCAACAGCAAAAGCAGAGCAGCAAGAGGACAAGGCCTCTTTCCCCTGAGTGTTATAAAGAGCACCGAACTCAAGAGTCACCACGTGCGGATAAATCACTGTTTACAGGCTACCCCAGGCTTCATTTCTCTGGGCTTCAGCTTCCTCGTGGGTAACATAGGTGGAGGCTGAAGACCCTCCTGTAGAATTCTCCTTTGGGTCTATGAGATCATGAACAACTTCCACACGTGGCATTGTGTGTGGCTCAGAGGTGGAGTGAATTGGTGAAACCCCAGCTCCTCTCTTCTATGAAGGGAGCTGTCCCAAACCGCATCTCGTCAGTGGCCTGTTCTACAGCTGCAGAGGTGTGAAGGCCACGTGCACTTCGGGGTCATGCAAACGTGAGCTGGCATCCTGTCTCCCTCTCACTCTCTGAGTGTGTGTCCTGGGCAGTTGAATAACCTTTCCAAGTCTCCATCGCCTCACTTATGAAACATGGGTAATTAAGATCTACCTTCAAGGGTCAGACACCCTGAGAACATGGACGTGAAGGTGCTAGGCTACAGGAACGCAGAGTTCAACAATTACACCTCTCAAATCGGGAAGGACCCATTTATGTGCTCACTCGAGCGGGTGGCCGAGGAGGCTGGCTGCGGAGGGAGGGGCGCCAGGAGGAGGCGTGCGCTCACCTTGAAGAAGCCCTTGCAGCCCTCGCAGGTGCGAACGCCGTAGTGCTGGCAGGCAGCGTTGTCCCCGCACACGGCGCAGGTGCCCTCGCCCGAGGAGGAGCTCCGGATGGGCGGCGACGGCAGGCTGGGGCTCTCCCCGAGCAGGCTGGACGCGGTGGGGGAGGCCGTGAGGTTGAGCGGCGGGAAGGCCAGCGCGGCTGCCCTCTTGGGCAGCGGCAGCCCGTAGGGGTGGCCCTCGAGGGCGGGGGCCTGGCTGCCCGCGGCGGCGGCGGCTCCCAGCGACAGGCTGAGCGCGGCGGCGGCCGTCGGGTCGTAGCTGAGATGGTGGCCGCCAGCGGGGCTGGGCGCGGGCGGGTGCGGCGGCGAGGGCTTGAAGTGGAAGAGCGGGAAGCGCGCGCCGGACAACGCCTTCATCGGCGGGTCGAGCAGCGGGCCGGGCGCGATGCAGCCCTGCGCCGAGGGCAGCGCGTCGTCCCACAGCGCCCCCGCCTGCGGGGGGAAGCCCGGCGTGGTGGGCGTGGACGGCGGGGACTGCTTGAAGTACATGGAAGTGCTGGGCAGCACCTCGTCCTCCGGTCCGGAGGAGGGCGGGATGGATGGCTCTGGCTGCGGCTGTTGCTGGTGATGGTGGTGGTGATGGTGGGGGTGATGGTGATGGTGATAGCTGTGCGGGTGGCCCTCCTCCACCTTGATCAAGGGTCGCGGCCCAGGCGGCTGCATTTGGTACTGGCAGGAGGGCTTGAATTCGTAGTTGGAGTAGCCCTCCACGAAGGTACTGAAACTGGGCAGGGATGTGGTGGCCCTGGCCGTGATCTCGGTGCTCCCGAGGTCCATGGTCAGCTTGGCGCAGTCGGGATTCATGATCTCCGCTGTGTACTCTGAGCTGTAGGTCTGCGCTGCATAACTGGAACCTGGAGGCGGAGGGCTATACTGGGCTTGCACGCAGGGCATATCTGCAGGGACAGGGCAAAGGGTCTTTCAGAAGCAAGTCCGCACTCTTTCCTAGCATGGCTCTTTAATCTAGGCCTAGGAAACGGAGAGGAAGTGACATCCTTTTCTCCTCCTGGTAGCACAGATCTAAAGCCCAGTGTTTCCTTCCTTCCTTCCTTCGCTGGGAAGAAAGCTGAATCCCTTACAGACTGTCAAAGGGCCTACAGGATGCCAAAACCCAGCCTCCTGGGGACCTCTGTGCCCACCTTTCTTCCCTTGCTTTGTCCTCCACCAGATCTGGGAAATGTGACGTCTTCTCTCATAGGCCCAATGATGTTTTTAAGTTAATTGGAGTGACTTCAGCCACTAGTTGGGGGTGAGGGTGGGGGGAGGGTGCATAAAGAAAGCCAGTGAATGCCTTGTTGGTTTATTTTGGGGGGAAGAGGTCACTGACCCCCCCAAGTCACACACATTGATTTATAAATTCTATGAGTTAGTAAAAAAAAAAAAAGGTGTCCTACATGGGACTTACTGGCCAAGGGAAACAGTGACATGCTAACATTTTATAAATGCCAACTAAGGGTACCCACACATATTGTGGTCGCTTTTTCTTCCACCCCCTTCCCACTCTTCCAGACAGGGCCAGCAGCCTGCACAAACTGGACCCCTGCTGATGACTTCAGCCAGCTAGGTGGTGAGGTGGGAAAGTAGGCCCAGGAAATGGACTGGGGGGAGGGAGTTTGCACCATCTGCAAAGAAAAAGATCAGCAGCTGCAACAAAACACTCACCAAACCTGCTCTCTGCCATATACAATATACCATATATATATATATATATATATATATATATATATATACACATACACACACTTTTCCACAATTCTGACTAATAAAATACATCAGTGGCTGTTTTATGACATTATAGCTGTCATAATAGGCGAGTTAGTTTACATATTATCTTATGACGGAATAATTAGGACCCCTACAAACAGAAAGCAGTTTCTTAATATGTTTTGTTTCTCTGCCAGTTTGACTATATTGAGCCCAGCAAAGCGACTGGTACCCAGGGTCCTTACTTATTGTTCAGAGAGGCTGAGCTGGACGAGAGGGCCCTGAGAATGATTGGATCTAATGAATAACTTATCTGATGATTTCCCTTTCTTTATGGCGAGATATTAGTGGTAAAATGGGCAATTTCTGGTGGTTGGTTTTTTTTCTGAACCAAAGGAAAACCAGGTGCTTAATGTCTATTTGGAGCCTATGGTATAAAATGTGTGACTAATAGAAGAGTGAGTACTTCACACTTCCTCTGACATCTTTCTCTTACCCACATTTCCAAATCTGATTGAGTCATGGGTGTATGGGATGAAATCTTGACTTGAAAAAATGTGAGGAGGGCCTGTTGGAAGAAGCAGTGGTGAGGAGAGGCCAGTTCAAGCCTTTATTTTTCAAACAGGGCCTTAAAAACACTCCCTAGTTGGAAGTTAAAGGATTACTTATCCTGCTTTGCAGTTGTTGGGGGTGAAATGAAAGACTAGTCATTTAAAAGAAAGAACACTGCCTGTGGTTTCATCTCTTCTCCTTCTCCCTTTAGACCTCTAGGATTTCCCTATTAGTCATTCTTTGCCAATCTCTGCCTATTGCTCTTGTGTCTTTCTGTGTTTTCCAGCTAGACCGTGAGCTTGCTGGGACTGAGTTCTATTTATCTGCATATCTTTGGTGCCTACACAGGCCTGGCACCTGGTATCTCTCTGACAAATGCATAAAGAGGTGTTACAAGCCAAGCCTGCAATCCTTACACAAGCCAACTTAAATGGACTCCTTGGGTTTCAGGTCAAATGCTTTTTCTCTTTCCCTCTGAGCTTCAAGAATCCACACTTCTGCACCCAAGTGATTTGGATTTTATATAAACAAAAATACTCTATCTATTGCTCTAAGTGACCCCATACTTCTTAAGTGAATAAGCTGCATGTAAAGGAAGAGCAAAAATGAAGACATTAGAAGTAAAATATCCGAATCTATGGTGTATTTGTATTTTTCTTAGGACAAATACTTTTGAGAAATGCAATGCTTAATTTAATCTGGCTGCTTCGCTCGGTAGCAACAGGGTGTGGTATCCAGAGGAGCTTCCTGCAAAGAAGCCACCTGTGCTGTGAAATGCGCAGCCAGCAGGCACTGTCTTGGCCGCTGGGCACATCGACCACCTTGCCGGCTGGTAGTGTGGCTCCCCCACCCACCTCTCCCAGGCGGGTTAGAATAAGGGGTCTAAGGGGTCGTGCCTTCAGACCTACCTGGAGGATATCTTGCGCGCTGAATGGTGGGGCTGTGGGTCTCTCCAGCGGAGGCTGAGAGTGAAGGAGGCGGAGACGCACGACTAGGCGAAGCGGCGGCGGTGCTGCCCAGCTCTGCTGAGGGTCCAGTCTCAGGGCCGGGGCTTGCCGGGCTGCGTTCTTCCGCAGTGGGCTCTGCGGGCACCCGGAGAGAGAACAAAGGTCATAGTAAGTCCAGGCTGAGCCACCGGGGCCTGGGCTGGGCGTATTGGGAGTTGGTGGAGGCCTCTAGAAATGCTACGTTAATGACAAAAAATGCTAAGGTGCCTGGAGTCCTGAAACAAGCAGCATCACACCACCTTGGGGTAGCCGAGGAAAGGTTGTCTCTACCAGCCGAGCTCACCGCCCTTTTGTGGCACCCGAACCCAGGCTAAAATAGTGAAGCCTGACATCGCCCAGAAATCGATCCTCTGCCCCCCACAATTGGTGCCGAGCTCACGAAGTTAGGAAAACCGAAGAAAACAGTGGAGGAAAGAGTCCCGCCCAAATTCGGAGGGTGGGGGTCAGTGAGTGTGCACGAGGGGGAAATAGTCATTTTCCAATTCCACCCGCTTCCACCTCCTCACAGACAAATGTACACGCTGCATAGGAAATGCACAAGGTCCGGAACGAATGCGTGAATGCCCCGAGGAATTAAGAAAGTCAGCTTTTCATTCTAAATGCTAATGGAGCTTTGCGTCTATTAGCCGCGAGTTTCGGGGGCCAGGGGTCAAGCAAACAAAAGGGCCCAGTGAAAATAGGCCCGCGCTGGCAGCCAGGCGAGAAGGCGGATGGCGTTTACAGCCGAGGGGGCGGTCGGAGGGAGGCCCCCTGCACCCAGCGGGCGGCATCCTTGAGGGTGGGCGACTTCTAGGCTCTGGACCACCGGGCGGCCCGGAGGGGGCACACGCGGAGGGCGCCAGCGCGGCTCCCGGCCCAGCGTCTCAGCGCATAGCCTCGGCGAAACTTTGTAGCTGGAAGCACAGCTCCCCGGGCCTGGAGGAAGGATTCCACTGCCGCCAACTCCGGCCTATAGCGCCACCTTTGTCCCGACCCACTCCCAGCTGAATGGGAGGCAACGTGGAGCCAAAAATAAACAAAACCCCCCAATCCTCGCGGGTGCGCGGGCTGCGAGAGGGTCGTGCAAGTTTCATTGCCTGCAGCCTCTACGCCCATGGCTTCCCTGAGGAAGGAGAGGTACTTGGAGTCTTCAGGTCCGGGAAGCCCTCGAAAGCCAGGAAATGGGAGATTCCCTTGAAACCCCCAGTCCCAGGCCTAGCCCCTTCCCCAGCCCCAGCCCCATCCCCATCCCCAGCTGATCCTACGGAAAGCGTGAGCGAACTCTAGTGCAAGCACGGAAGGATCTTCCCACGGTTGTAGCTGATGCTTTCAGCCCTTCTCCCCCCGCCCCCAATCTTCAGTGGGGTCTCCAGAAACCTCCTCCCACCACCTCTCCCAGGAGGTGCCCGCCTGCCCGCCCTGCCCCGGGGCCTCTCCAGCGGAGCCTTTCTCTAAGGATCGGCCTTTGACTTGGTGGATGAGGGTCGCGTCTCTGGAGCACCGGTGTTGGAGGGGAAGAGCCACACCACGTCTCCTACAGCTGAGCCGAGTGCCCCTCGGTTCTCTCCCCCCGCGCCCTCCAAAACGTCCGGTTACCTAGGCAAAGCCTCCGCGCCTGGAAACACTTTCGGTGGCTCCTGCTCGCGGCCGCGGGGCCGGGAGCACGGAGCCTCGAGGTTGTAAATTAGGAAGAAATAACTACCTCTGTCAAAGCCCCTTTCTTTCTCGTGGGCAGACGAAAGGAACACCCCCGTGTTCCCCTCCCGGTGGTGAAGCGAGTGGAGGAAACCGTGAAACGCACCATTGTGACCCCGGCCCCTCCGCGGAGTTTCCAACCTTGGGGAGCGGGGGCGGAGGCTGGGCGGGGGCAGGAGGCGTGGAGGAGACCGACAGAATGGGAAAGACAGATTCTCAGAAAGACCGAGGGAGAGGAGACAAACCGCGGGGAGAAATCCTGCGAGCGCCAGGTCCCAGGGAGGGGAGTGGGTGGGCGCGGGGGGGAGGGAGCGGGTGCAGAGGCTGCTGTGGCCCGAGTAGTCTTTGATACTCACAGGGGAGCATCTTGTTCAGCTACGATAACTCGGAATAAACTCTAACTTCATTCATTGTGCCCGGTAGCCGCGTTGGGCAGGTTTCTCTTTCCCAAACTTAGTTCTAGAAAACATTTCTTTGTCGCGGGAAAAGAAGATGGAATTTGCGATGAAGTGACCACACAGGCGCCCTATGTATGTCTCTCCCGGCACCCCAAGCCTCTGGGATAACCAACGGCCCGCGATTTCTGATCACCAACCTCCCTGCAGCCAGCTCTTCCCTTTGGAGTATGGAGGCATAAATAAGAGGCAATATCTAGGCAAAGCCTCGGCGCCCGGAAACACGTTCTTTGGAATCAAGGGACACATGCTGAAACTTCACGACTGCCCCAAACTCCCCGCAGGTTCTAGAGGAACCTTGGGAAGCCAGTCTCCGCAGGCTGCGTTGGCACGACCGCTCTCTCCTCTCCACCGAGAACTTTCAATTCTATTAAAACACTCGGAGCAACTTCTCCAAAAGCGCGAGTTCTCTCAGTGAAGAGGAAAACATGCCTTTCTCACACCGAGCCGAGCCTGGATGAGAGGGACACCGTCCCCACGCGTGTCGGAGTGCGGGAGTCCGCAATTACACCCGATCACCTCCGGAGGGAAAAGTGTCAGCGGGCAAGTCGGCGACGCCGGGCAGACGTGCCTAGCGGAGCCCCAGGCTCATTTCAATACAATAAGCCACATTCCTACAATTATGCCCTCTTTTCCTGAGATCCTCCGAGCGCCTTTGCAAACTCCGGCCGCGGCTGCCCTGGCCCCTTTCCCCTCCCAAGCTACCTCCCAGTCAACCCGCTCGGAGTCACTCTCAGGTGTATGAACTTGGACCACCGGAGCCCCTATGTTCAATCCTAGTTAAAAGGCAGGAAAATTACTGCCGTTCATCACCGGAGCTGCAACTCCCCGCCGCCGCTGCTGCCGCCGCCGCCGAGAGCATCATTACCATGACAACTAGAGCTGAAATACCCTGAATTACATCTCCGGAGCTGCGACTGCACAAACCCGGTCCTCCTCTTTGTTACAGGCTTTTCGCCCCTTCGGGTGGGGGTTGGAATCCCACTAGCTCCAGACATCCCCGGGGGTCCGCTACCGGGGAAAAGTTTCAGATCAGAACCCACCCGCCTCTCAGCAACCGAGGCGGCAGCGAAGCGGTGAGGGGGGAAAACCCCACACTCAAAGTTGTCAATTTCGGGAGCGACGCTTCCCAGTGTGCCAACTTTTCAGCAAGTCCCCCAATTAACTGGGCGAATCTCAAATACGTACTTGAGTGCTGTGGCGGTTCCGTCTTTAGAGCGAGTTTCTAGAGAGCTGCCCCAAAATCTGCGCTGGGGGGGAGTCACAGCTGCTGTCCCGGAAGGGCTGCGGTCTCCAAGTCCAGCGGCTCCCAGAGGCGGTGAGCGGCTGGCAGGGGATGCTGCGATCCCGACTCATGGGAGAGCGCCGCCGAGGGGTTCCGCTGGCGCCCTGGCTCCGGCCGCGACCAGGGGAGAGGATGCCGCCGCCGTTCCCACCTCCACGGCCACCGCTGTCAGCGTTGCAAAGTGAGCCCGGGAAGGGGCGTCCGGCTGCCGCGCCGCGCTGCACCCGCGAGGGTGCAGGGCGAGAGGGGTGTGAGCGCGCGGGAGAGAGTGGAGTGTGTGTGCGGAGCGTGTGTGCGCGCGTGTCTGTGTGTGCGAGTGAGGGAGCGGGTGTGAGCTTGTCTGTGTGTGGGGAGCGGAGGAGGAGCAGGAGCTGGAGGGGTGGGGGGCGGGAGCCAGGAGACTCCGCTCTCCCGGCTGCGCGTTCGCTCGTCCTCTCGGCACGTCATTTATGCCACAGGAGCCCTAGCGGCCTCTCCATAGAGTGCCTGGAATGCGAGACGTCAATGTGACGCCATGGGACGCTACGTCACCCTCCTCCTCCCTCCCCTGGCCCAGCCGGTTCCGCGTGTGCGAGGGAGTGCGTGTGTGTGTGTGTGTGTGTGTGCGCGCGCGCGCCTTACCCGGCCATTCGCCGGGCGGCACAATGGAAACTACGCGGTGCAGCCAGCCCCAGCCCGGAGGCCTTTCCGACCCGCGCTGGCAACCCCTTTGCAGTGGCGCTGCTCGCCCGGGCACGAGTCAGAGAGAGAGCAGCGGCCCGCCCGCGGGTCAGGCGGGACCGCCCAGCTGTCAGGCTCGGGTGGAGTAGAGTTGGAGGAGTGCTGCTGGCGCGCCTCCGAGGCTGCCCCAAGGCAGGAAGCCAGGGCGAGGGGGTAAGAGAGAGGACAGCTCTTCCGAAAAGGAAGGCTCCGCCAGCCAGCTTCTCCGAGTGACCTGGCAGGGGGTGCAGAAGGAGTCAGGCTCCAGACCAAAGATTCCCTGAGGTGCAGCTGCGCTTTCCGCCAGCAACAGTTCTAGAACTGTTTACGTCTGTCCGGCCCTCTGCGCCTCCCATCCTCTACTGGCTGCGTGTTTTACACAGGGATGCAGATGGCTCTGGGAAGATAAGGTTTTTATTTCTTTCTACTTAAGGGGTGCGTTTTATAAATGTAACCCAATTAAATGTACGCGCGCGGCAGCAGAAACTATTTAAATGTGTGCAAAACAAACACAAACATGTTGAACATCTGAGCGGGTCTGACTATTGCATCCCCCCCCCCCCCCCCCGCGTCAGAAATGGAACCCTCAGTTCGCACTTTCACTTTTTGATGGCGGAAGACGGGCCTCCCTTCCCATCTCCCAAATTAAACATTTCGAAATCAATCAACAAGATTTATTAGTCGGTCCCTCCCTAAGGGATTTTCTCTGGTCTCCTGGGACACATTTGTCCTTCAGTGGTGCGCCGAAAGCCTGGGCGACTGTATGAGGGAGAGCCATTTCTTACTGGAAATGATGAATTTAAGTGTGAATTTCTTGCCGAAAACAAAAACAAAAATTTAGAAGACTTAAAAGCTCCTAGTTCCTAAGGTTGCATCTGAGTTGGAAGCATCCTCTTTTAAAGATCTGAATTTTTTGAGAAAATACTTGAGTGAAACAATGCAGACCGACATGGTTCCCGTGTGTCCGCTGCAATCATAGGTGACATGTTCTTTCTTTGACCTGTCACAATCTTTGAGCGCGTGAGGGGGAAGGAGCGGGGAGGGTGCAGCGTTTCAGACTCGAAGAAGGTTCTAGCTAGTACCAGAAACTCGAAAACAAAACTAGCATCACATATGACAGAGGTCTATTTCTTCGCCTCCACTCCCACTTGAGACAGGGTGGTGTGGAGGAGACCGTGGGAGGATGCTCCGAAAGTTGACCCGGCGGAGAGGAACCCAGCCTCTGCACTGCCACGGATTCCAATCCAGTCTCGGAAGGAAGGAGGGCGCTGCTGCATTGTATCCATTCAAAGGCTGGGAGGCGGGGGGAGCCGACCCGGAGCCGCAGGGCGCCCGGCTCGTGGGGCGCATGATTGACGCAGGCGATGTTACTGTCCCGCCGGCCCGCGGCCCGGCCGGCCCCGAGTCGCGTGGGGGCGGAGCCGCCCGCGGCCACCACTTCCTGAGAGTCGGGGATACCCCTCCCGAACGTCACGGAGGAGCCGAGGCGGCGGTGGCGGCCCCGGGCTCATCCTGCACTTGCATCACGGGTGCAACAGCAGCTGCTCTGCTCCTTTGTGGCTTTTTCCCCTGTTGAGTAACTGCTTTGTTAACTGAAAATACCATGACGGGCCAAGTGTGATCACCAGCTTCAGACCTCAAAGAAAGTGAAGCTGTCAGGCAAGAAGAGGGAGACTCCCTTCGCCGGCTGCGATGGTATCTGGTGGGTGGGTGTGTAGAGAAGCACTTGACAATTTCCACGTATTACTTCTTGCCTAACTCTTCACCCCCAAGAAAGTTTAAAAATACTTTTATTTCCATGCAGTAAAAATTTCATGTGTTCTGCACCCCACCCGTTCCCCCTTCAATTTGAAATCTCACGCCGAATTGGAATCACACTAAAGCAGGAACCCTAAAATTAGGCACAGTTTTTAGGAAACGGGACATCTTTCAACGAATTTATTTAATAAGCTCCGTTTTCTAAATGTTAATATATAAAAAAGGTTCTTGCCCACTCAAGGTAGTTATAAAACAACTAACCAAGTTTGTACTTATGAATGGGGCTCCCTCAGTTTTAACCCTGTATTTTTGTTTACCTTGAATTAAAAATAATTCTATTCCTTGCTGAATATCTCCAGGTAAAGCATTTCTCTCTGAGTAAGTGTTATCTTTCTGGACATCTGTGTTGGTTAATTTTGTGCTTCCCTGACTCCCATGGTCACTAATCTTTGTTCCTTGATGACTGTTAGGCTCAGGGCTGTTGTCTGATTGCCCTGAACCAATCAGCTGGTGTAGGGCTTCTCTGAGGAGGAAACTGTACTGACTGTTGGAGGATTCCAGTGGTCATTGATAAGTGGTAACATTTTTGCACTGAAATGGAAAGTCTTGGAAGCAGAGACAAGGCTCTGTTACAAAATGGGACACCATCCCCTGCTTAATCCTAGGTCCCTAAACATATGCAAGTCTTTAGGAAACCTCAAATGGAATGAATCATTCTCTTTTCTTTAAAAAAAAATTTTTTTTAATTGATTTCAGAGAGGAAGGGAGAGGGAGAGAGATAGAAACATCAATGATGAGAGAGAATCATTGATCAGCTGCCTCCTGCATGATCTCCACTGGGGCCCGAGCCCACAACCCGGCCATTGACCAGAATTGAACCTGGGACCCTTCAGTCCACAGGCTGACACTCTATCCACTGAGCCAAACCAGCTAGGGCTGAATCATTCTCTTTTCAAGTTAATACATGTTCTATAACTTTTAAAAAGTCTGATTTGCTAGAAGTCAGGGGTAATATTCTATAAGGCATATGTATGACTATTTCAGTAATCTAAATTACCTCTTGGATGACTTTTTTTATTAAAGGAAAGTCATTACTTTATAAAGCTCTCATTTTAGGAAATCAAGTAGAATAAGACTACCTTAATCTACGAAATGTTGAAAACTTACCTGGTTTTGCCTTTTTTCTAGAAGCGGGACATTTATGCCTGGCCTAAGCAATGAAAGTAGTTAGTTTCTGCTTTCATAATACTTATGGCAGCCAATTTGCTAAAGGGTCTTTCGATGAAGTAACTATTACAAATTCACTGGATAATTAACTTTCATTTTGTTTTGATTTTATAAGTATAATCTATCTGCAAGAACGAAAGTGCTCTTTCTCTTAGACAATAAAATATGAAAATTTGGGGAAATTTATTATGTGTGATAGAAAGCAATTGCTTTAACAAAGTGGGACTTACTTACTTTAAATGCTCTTCTGATTAAGCAATGACATATAATCTTGTTGATTTTGCAAATAAGGTAAAGAATGATGAGTCTTATTAATGCAAAGATTGGGTGAAGAAAGGTAAAATAAAAATTTCAAGCCAGAAGTTAACTAAGGTGAATATAGGAAGGAAAGTTAAAAAAAAAATTGTGTGAAACTTAATTTTTCTAGAACCAGTGTAGAAATTCTATATTGTATTTAAGAAATGTATATACAATTTAGTAACCTGAGCTACATTGATTTATATACTTAAGTGTATGGGACTCAGGTACGTGGGACCACTACAGTAGCCTATCTGACCTACCCGTATACCATCCCTTCTTTATCAACTCTATTATCTCCAGATTAATCTTCCTAAAATATAGCTTTTGTTATATAACTCTCTTGCTCAAAAAGTCTTCAGCAGTTGGATCTTATCTCTACCATAAAACACGAAAGCCTCTACATTGTGGCCTCTTAATTTCCACAGGATTTTTCTGTTCTAGTCAAACGGATATCTTCACTGTTCTTCAAACATCCTTTTACCCTTCCACATTTATTCATAGTTTTCCTTTTTATGGCATTTCCTTCTTCCCCTTCTCTGCTTATTGAAATTTTTCCCTTCCTCTAAAATTAGCTCAAGAAAATTAGCTCAGGTTGTGCTTTAGTCTTTCATAAAATTCTTACTTTACTGCCTTGTTTTTGTGCTCTTGTGTTCATTGCTTATTCCCCTGTCAAACTATAAGCTTCAGAAGCATGCCTCACACATCTTTGAGATTTCTGCGGCAACTCAGTTTAACATAGATAGTAAATATTCCCGCATTTAAATTTGAATTAATAATATAAGTAACAAGTTGTAAGAATGGGTGTCTTGGCATGAATGGATGTATATGAGGTCATACATTAGTTGTTTTCTTTACCTGAACTTCCGATACTCGTGTTTGAACATACCTTGTCAAGGTACCTGCCACAAGTCCAGACAGCTGCATGGTGATACAAGGAAATTGCAGTTTGGCTTATATCTGTAATATCTGCGTAGGAAGATTTGCTATGATTTTTTTTTTTTCCTGGTAGACTTTTGGTTTGACTCTCATTCTACCCACTTTGCTCTATTTGCACTTTCTCTTAGGTTGTTTGGTCTCAGTGATAAACTGGATGCTACAGGCTAGGAAATGTTAATAACTTCTTTTAGAAAAATTTCTTAATATTTAGAAAATTGAGAACCAGTTAAATATAAAAATTCTTGAATCTTTTACCTTTTCCAAAGTATATTTATATAGATTTGTCTGACTCTATATATGCAGAAATAAACTAGGCAAAGAAAATTTGGAATTATGATTTGTTAGAAGTTTCAGAGAGAGAGACCCAATGTGACTTAGAAATTAAAATTTACTTTAAGAAAAAGTAATAGATCAGAAAAGACTTTTTATGTTATAGACAATTTTAGAAAAGAGTGAAAAACCAAGATGGAAAGATTACTTGGTAGTATAAGTGCTAATAATATTTTAAAATCTCATTAAGTAGTATTTTTCTACCCACTAGTAAAAAACAGGATAGGCTTGCATTCTAGTTAAAAAGGTAATTTATTTCTTAGTCACGTTTTCCC